TGTCGAGTCAGGTAGGGGTGAGGAGGAGGAGTGGTGTCAGGAGACGAAGAAGAAGAACCGGCTCCGCCCTCGACAGCACCCGGCTGAGAACCCCCAGAGCGTGTACCCCCTGCGGCAGCACGACTAGCACCTGTAGGAGGTGGACCCGCACCCCCAGTCGGGGTGCCTCCAGTGGCACCAGCACCAGCCTCAGACTCTCCAGCTCCAGAAACACCACCAGCTCCAGCACCACCACCAGCTCCAGCACCCTCGGAACGGGCAGCCGCGGCAGGTGCACGCTCAGCGCCAACGCCAACACCCCCAGAACGGGCGGCTCCTGTAGGTGCACGAACAGCTCCAACGCCAGCACCCCCAGAGCGAGCACCGCCAGAGCCCTCACCTCGAGCACCAACACCCTCAGAGTCCGCAGTGGCCGGTAAAGGAAGCGCTGACGGCTGCTGCGGAGGCTGTGAGGACGACTGTGGGGAAGGAGGAGAGACCTGGGGGGGTACCGAGGGGGGGGGAGTAGCGTGGGACACACCAGACGGAGCAGGACCAGGGGGGGGTACCGGAGGAGCAGGGGCGGGAGGAGGAGGAGCTGGAGCCAGGAAGAGGGGAGGGGGGGGGGACCGGGAGACCTCGACAGCGGTACCGGACGTAGTAGGGGACAGACTCGTCGAAACGGACGTCACGAGAGTCAAAGAACCGGTGGGAGGGAGGGTGGTAAAATGTGAAGTCAGAGGAGTCCTCTGGGAAACCAAGGAAGACACAGGGGACGGCACGAGGCGAGATCTTGTCCGCAGAGGTGTCGCGGACAAGAGCCAAGGTGCCCCAGACACGAAACCTCGACGCAACACCAGGGGACCCTGTCCAAAGACTGGTCGGTGAAGCCCCTGGCCGAGAGACGCGAGGCTAGAGGTTCAGCTGGTGAGCGGCGTACCGAGCCGCGTAGGGCCACAGAAAATGGGGCGCGCGGGCGTGGATCATGGAGGTGCGGGCAATCTCCATGACCAGGCCTAAGCGGCGCTCAGCAACCCCATTCTGCTGTGGAGAGTCTGGGAGAGTCCAGGACTGGGTGATGCCCTGCTCAGCACAGAAACTGGCGAGAATGCCGGAGCGAAACTCACCCCCACGGTCGGAGTGGAGACAACTGACACGACGACCACGAGTGCCCTCGGTGGCGAGGAGCCACCGGATCAGCGTAGAAGTCACGTCGGACTTCTTCGCCAAGGGGAACACGGTGGTGTACCGAGAGTAATCGTCAACGACCACCAGAAAGAAACTCTCCCGCTCAGGGCCAAGGCGGGAGGCGGGGCCCCAGACGTCTAAGTGGAGTGTCTCAAAGGGCTCGGTGGCCGGACGAAGGGAGGAGGAGTGGGGGGTGGCGCGAAGCCGACCCTGGACACAAGGACCACACGGAGGAGCTGGGGATGGCAGGAGTGGTGGGAGGACTCGGGGGAGGCCTAAGACAAGACGCTGACTGGACATGGCGCGCAGACGAGGAAGGGACGGGTGCCCCATCCGGTGGTGCCACAGAACGGTGGGGTGGGCAAGCGACCGACACGAGCACGACGCAGCAACTACACCTGACACAGCAACCTGACTGGACCCGGCTACCTGGTGGGACGGGGGAACCTGACGGGGGTCGGTGCGGAGGGTGTACAGACCAGAGCCCGGCTCCTGGCGGAAAGTGGCCAAGGGGGCGTACGTGTCACCGTCGACGCAGACTGCGGTGTCACCAGAAGGCTCAACCCAGACCCCGACGTGCTGTCTCGCCAGGGTGCCCACACCAACCAGGTTCCTAGAGAACGTAGGAACGTGGAGGCCGGTCAGGGAACCAGAAGGGGTAGCTGGGCACGGGAGTGAAGTGGCGTGAGTCGCAATGACCGGTCCCGAGGAGGGATCGGCCAGTGCTACAGGGACAGGTGCCGGTAGCGGAGAGAGAGTCGTGCAGTCGCGGAAGAAGCAGTGCGACGCTCCTGAGTCCAGTGTGAAGGAGAGAGACGCGTCCGCCGAGGGAGTACCTGTACTAGTAGCTAAACAAGATCCTACACTGGCACCTACTCTAGCAACAGGCAAGTACACAGATCCAGGAGCACTATAGTCAACATCAGCATACATGGCATAAGACCTAGCATCATCCATAGTCATATCAAAAACAGCAATGCCACGAGCAAGAAGCGTCCCCCAGCGTGGCGGCGGGGGAGCAGAGGGGCCGTGGTGCAAACGGTAGAGGTCGTCGAGACGACTGAAGCAGCGTGCAGCAGAGTGGTCGGGGCGGCCACAGTACGAGTCCCGTCGAGGACCCGTAAGGATCCAGTACTCACAGGGACCAACGTCGCGGCCGGCCGAGCGAGGTCCCCGACTGGAGGGGGGGGCACTGCGCCCAGTGCTCGGGGGACCCACAGACCTCCACTGCTGCTGAGGGCCCCACTGCTGCGGAGGCCCCCACTGCTGAGGCTGCTGCTGCGGTGGGCGCTGCTGCTGGCCCTGTCGCTGCTGCTGCGGTCCCTGCTGCTGCTGCTGTCCAAGCTGTGGCAGCTGCTGAGAAGTCGGCTGCTGCTGCTGCTGGAACCCCCCACCACCAGTGATAACTCCACCGTCGAGAGGAGGACCGTCAGGGCCCGAGCCACCCCCACTACCACTCCCACCACCCACCCCACCGCCGCCACCACTACCCACACCACCCCCCAGTACCCCCGCCCTTCCCTCCCTTCTTGCTAGCCTTGCCACGTTTCTGTCCGCCAGAGACAGAAACAGCCGCCGTCTCCTCAGAGGCAGAAGACGCGGGGATGGCAAGGGAGGCAGTGAAGGTGGGAAGCTGTGGTACCGCACACCCCTCAAAAAGACGAGGAGGAGGTGCTGAGGAGGCAGAGGCAACTGCGAGGAGGTTACTCTCGATCTTCGAGAGAGCGGTCTCAAGAAGATCGATGGTAAGCTCAGTGGGATGCTTCAGAAGAAGCGCGTCGCGGGCTGTGGCTAGGCGGTCAGGGAGGCGAGTGACTAGCCAGTGAATGGTGAGCCACATAGGGGGCGGGGCAAGGGCAAGCTGGTCCTCAGTGCAAGCAGCACGAAAGCGAGTGTCAAGGGAGCGCAGGTGGGCAGTGAGGTCAGAGACAGTCTCAAAGGAGGCGAGGTCAGGGTAGATAAAGGGGACGAGGAGGCGACTGAGTGAGGCAGAGGAGGGAGTGGAGTAGCGAGCAACAATAGTTTTATACAGATCTGCAGCGGACTCGACCTGAGTGAAGTGGACTGCCTCGGTCGGTGGGAGAAGGTCGGTCAGGGCGAGGCAGGCAGCGGCGTCACGAGACTCCCACACGTCGCGAGCAAGAAACTGGCGCTGGTACTCGGCCTCCTGCTCAGGAGTAGGCGACGGGGTGGTGGGCAGCGGCCTAGGCTGAGGAGGGGCGGTCTGAGTACCGGATGCGTGTGCGAACAGGTGCACGCCATCCTGCCGCTGGCTCTTAAGGTGGCGCTGCGCCTGCGTAAGCCACGTACTAAAATCAATCGGTCTCCCCTCAGGGTCAAATCGAAGTACTCGAGTGGTCGCCATAAGGGGCGAAAAACGAGAGAGCCCGGTTACCAGCCGCAGGAGAGTGAGACAGTCAGTGGCACGTGGGCAGGCGCGCACGCAAGGAGGCGAGGAGGCAGTGTAAGAGGCGCACAGGGGGGCAGCACGGCGCGCTGGCCAGTGGGCGGCGCGGCGCGCTGGCCGGCGGGCGACGCGGCGCGCAGGCGGACGGGCGGGGCGGCGACGCAGCGCTGGCGGTGCGCTGGCGTGGTGCGCTGGCTTGGCGCGCTGGCGTGCGCGCTGGCGGGGCGCGCTGGCGTGCGCGCTGGCGTGGCGCGCTGGCGTGGCGCGCTGGCGTGCGCGCTGGCGTGGCGCGCTGGCGTGGCGCGCTGGCGTGGCGCGCTGGCGTGGCGCGCTGGCGTGCGCGCTGGCGTGGTGCGTTGGCGTGCGCGCTGGCGTGCGCGCTGGCGTGCGCGCTGGCGTGGCGCGCTGGCGTGGCGCGCTGGCGTGCGCGCTGGCGTGGCGCGCTGGCGTGCGCGCTGGCGTGGCGCGCTGGCGTGCGCGCTGGCGTGCGCGCTGGCGTGGCGCGCTGGCGTGCGCGCTGGCGTGGCGCGCTGGCGTGCGCGCTGGCGTGGCGCGCTGGCGTGCGCGCTGGCGTGGCGCGCTGGCGTGCGCGCTGGCATGCGCACTGGCGTGGCGCGCTGGCGTGCGCGCTGGCGTGGCGCGCTGGCGGGCCTACTGGCTAAGGCGCTAGCGGGCCAGCTGGCTAAGGCGCTGGCGGGCCTGCTGGGGAGGGGGGGGGGGAGAGCCTAGAGCGCTGGCTAGGGCGTTGTCCAGGGCGGTAGCTAGGTCGTGGGCGAGGGCGCTGGCTAGGGACGGCATAGGACTAGGAACGGAGGTGACTAAGGCCTAGGAACAACGAACCTACTGCTGATACCATCTTAGTAACTGAGAACAGCGGAATGGCTTGCATTGATTGAGTTGGGGTACAAGTACCTAACCCTATTTGTTTGTACCCCATATAGTATGACCCACTAAGGGCTATAACATTTGACAGTTTCGACTGATTTTCAGATAATATTCGACATGCGCTTATAATAAATCATAAATTTTTAGGGGGTGCGCTTATAATCGAGGACCGGATATAAGCGCCCTCATCCCTTTATAAGCGCCGGCGCTTATCCGAGGCCTGCGCTTCTATCCGGGGTATGACGGTAGTTTAGCAAAAGCTGTCAAAGATCCACTGGAGATCCCAGATAGATCCTAGGGAAGGGTTACAGGCACGTTGGCCTAGGGGGTTATGGGCACACTCACCCGCTACACAAACAAGCCCTTATCTTTGTGGTTAGTGGGTAGGATTCTACCAAAAACATATAGGGTCTCTATCCGTATGGATGTGGAAATGGAAATACATTCCACAATACTCTCACTGAAAGGAAACCTAGCGCAACAACAAGTAACGTGGATGAGAGAAGTACATTGCACAACACACCACTCATTCACAGCTAATCTAGCATAAATACACGCAAGAAGGTTTGCAATGGAAAACAAGAACCGAGCGCACGGAATGCCCCTTGTCATCCTCCCACGTAATGCTGCCATACTTGAATTTCTTTAACTTCCTCCTTACCACAACCTTCACCTTGAAACTGACTCGTTGCCCCGGCGCTACTCTCACTGCCTTGGGGGCCTTGATCCTCACCCTGTAGGTCGATGTGGTGTCTGAGACGCTCGTCACAGTCCGCCTAGCGACGAGTTTATTCACTATGTTACCCAGCGAGATGGACGGCCGATTCAGGTTCCTGGCTGGAACGGGCTTCAGTGGCACCTGCCCGAGGGTCTTTTGAGCCAGCTTCATGCTCAGCCCTGCAAGCAAGTTGCGGAAATCTTGCTCCCCGGCGTCGTAGGTCAACCCAGGGTCAAGCGCCCTCGCAGGAAACACATGCCCCGCTCCCATCTCCCACGGCGTTGCCGGCAGCCCGTACATATTCCGAATCATTCTGTTGCTGTAATCAGTGCTGCCAGCTGTCGTCATCATGGCAGACATGACCTGTGCGGGCGACCAATCAGGATGCTGCTGGATGATCAGAGCAGCGATACCAGCAACATGCGCTGCAGAGATGGCACTTTCAGTACTAACCTGCAGCGACCCTGCCTCGCCGACGGTTTTCCCTGGAGCAGCTGCAAGAATGCTGACCCCCGGGGCAATGATGTCGGGCTTGAGAATGGCGTTGGTGGGATCAAAATACCGTCGTTTGCAGATGGTGCAATCGGTTGGGGCAACTGGGCCGCTAGAGGACCAGCCGGGAACCATGGGGAGGAAAGTTGGTGTAGATAAGTTGGTGGCTGAAGGGGTGATGGTGGCAGGGAGTCGGGTTGACATGGCGGGGTATGCTGTTGCTGATGGCCATGGTACTGTTGCCCCTGTGGTGTTTTCAGGAGATTCTGCCGCTGCTCCAACTGCTGCTCCTATTGTAGTTGTTGCTGTTAACATTGAAGTGAGGGAGGCTTGGGACACGGAACTGCATGGTGGGGGGGGGGAAAGGGTTTTTTGAGACGTCTCAAAAATAATCCTTTATCTCGGGAGGCTTGGGACACGGTACTGCGTGGTGGGGCGGGGTAGGTGTTGGTAAGCATGAGATGCGGAAGGCGCATGAACCAAGGGAGGAAGAGGAGGAAGGAGCACAGTGCAACCCAAAGCAGCTGCGTGGAAAACAAGCAGCAGCGTGGAAAACAAGCAGCTGCGTGGAAAACAAGCAGGCTCCTGCCCTTGCCTGCAAAGGACAACGAGTGCACACTCATTTATGTCCTACAAACAGGTGTGTAATGGGGGTGCAATGCTGCAATGATGCTATGTTGCAATGCTGCAATGTTGCAATGCTGCTATGTTGCAATGCTGCTATGTTGCAATGCTGCTATGTTGCAATGCTGCTATGTTGCAATGCTGCTATGTTGCAATGCTGCAATGCTGCAATGCTGCAATGTTGCAATGTGATCGCCAGTCCCCATAGCCTACGGCTGCCACCTCGTCACTATATAGACGGCGTGGGAAACACACAAACTCCATCACTCTCTAGTGAATGCTCCCCAATCTCACCTCGCCCCCACGCTGATATAGTAGGGTGCACGGTAGTGGATGGCGATGTGGCGATCAATGAACCACCAATTGTATTTGGTCGTCCCCAAGTCGCCCACTGCCAAGGACACAGTCACTCCACCCTGAATGAGGGATAGGAAGGGAGCGAGGGAGGGAGGGAGGGAGGGAGGGAGGGAGGGGGGGGGAGGGAGGGAGGGAGGGAGGGAGGGAGGGAGGGAGGGAGGGAGGGGGGAGGGAGGGAGGGAAGGAGGGAGGAGGGGAGGGAAAGAGGGAGGGAGGGGGGAGGAGAGGGAGGGAAAGAGGGAGGGAGGGAGGGAGGGAAGGAGAGAGGGAGGAGGGGAGGGAAAGAGGGAGGGAGGGAGGGAGGAGGGGAGGGAAAGAGGGGGGAGGGAGGGAGGGAGGAGGGGGGGAGGGAGGGAGGGAGGGAGGGAGGAGGGGAGGGAGGGAGGGAGGGAGGGAGGGAGGGAGGGAGGGAGGGAGGGAGGGAGGGAGAGAGGGAGGGAGGGAGGGAGGGAGGGAGGGAGGGAGGGAGGGAGGGAGGGAGGGAGGGAGGGAGGGAGGGAGGGAGGGAGGGAGGGAGGGAGGGAGGGAGGGAGGGAGGGAGGGAGGGAGGGAGGGAGGGAGGGAGGGAGGGAGGGAGGGAGGGGGAGGGAGGGAGGGAGTGAGGGAGGGAGGGAGGAGGGAGGGAGGAGGGAGGGAGGGAGGGAGGGAGGGAGGGAGGGAGGGAGGGAGGGAGGGAGGGAGGGAGGGAGGGAGGGAGGGGAGGAGGGAGGGAGGGAGGGAGGGAGGGAGGGAGGGAGGGAGGGAGGGAGGGAGGGAGGGAGGGAGGGAGGGAGGGAGGGGGGAGGGAGGGAGGGAGGGAGGGAGGGAGGGAGGGAGGGAGGGAGGAGGGAGGGAGGGAGAACGAGGAGTGAGAACAGAAGGGCGCGGAAAGTTACAGGAGGGTGTAGGGGTCCAAGAGGGCAGGATCACTGGAAAAAACGAGAGAACAATGGAAGGGATGGCCGACAAGGGGGTTACAATAACATGCAAATATGAGTGCAAGCACAGTATCAATTTACAATCGACTGTTGCACCCACCGCGTTAGTACCTCATGCCCCTCGCACCCTTGTATGCATATTCGATTCTTTGAGTCGACTCAAGAACCGCATTAGCAAGGATACATGTGAACAAGTTTTGAGAATTCTCAAAAACACATGTATGTGAACACGCGATATGAGTAGATTTATAGATGACTCAAGGATACGGATGTATGTGAACACGAAACAGCTTGGGATAACCAGCAAATCCGTACCCACGGCATGCACCCCATACCCTCCGCATGCACCCCATACCCTCCGCATGCACCCCATACCCTCCGCATGCACCCCATACCCTCCGCATGCACCCCATACCCACCACATGCCCTCACACCCACCGCAAGAGCACCGAGGAAAGGCGCATCTTCGAAGTAATTGTGTTTGTGCTTGTCGACCGTGCTGTGCAGGGACACGGTCAGCACATCCACACCGTCCGCCACGGCCCGATCAACGGCTGCGAAGACATCCGCATGTGTAGTTTCTGTAGATTCGGAATAATCAAATGCACGCCAATACACCTTGTAGATGGCCAGGCGTGCCTTGGGAGCCACGCCACTGATGGTGCCCCCGCCAGGCACCTCCACGCCGCTGTTGCCCGCTGCCGCTCTGAGAGTGGGGTGGGGGCGCATGGGACAGGGGAGGGGGGGCATGAGGGGGCGCATGGGACAGGCAGGGGAGGGGGGGCGGGCGCATGGGACAGGGGAGGGCGCCTGTCTGCACGTCCCTTTACTCGCCACATGTCCTTTTAAGCACGTCCTTGCACTCACCGCACATCCAAGCCATGCCATGCCATGCCATGCCATGCAATGCCATGGCGTGGCAAGGCATTCACCGAACGTCCCTTCACTCACCACTGCACGTCCCTTCACTCACCACTGCACGTCCCTTCACTCACCACTGCACGTCCCTTCACTCACCACTGCACGTCCCTTCACTCACCCCTCCATATCCCTTCACTCACCACTGGACGTCACTTTACTCACCACACGTCCCTACACTCACCACACGTCCCTACACTCACCACACGTCCCTGCACTCACCACACGTCCCTGCACTCACCACACGTCCCTGCACTCACCCGGCACACATCGAGCCATGGCCTGCAGAATCCCGCGGGGACATAAAATTGAGAGAGGAATTGACAGATTCCAGGTCTTATACCCCGCATAGAAGATTCCCCCCCCGATGATCTTGTTGTTACAAGCGAAGTCGCTTGTAGTGGGACACGAGCCCGCCCACCCGGCAGGGAGCGTGCTGCTGTAGCCCTGGTGGGGACGAGGAGGGGTGGAGGGTGATAGCTAAGCTGTAAAAGCGCTCGGAGGGGGGTAGCTAAAAGGGAAACGCGCTCAGAGGCCTGAGAACTCTGCGAAGAAGAGTTGGCGTCAACAGTGAGGGTGGGCTTAGAAGGTGAACAGTGAGGGTGGGCTTATAAGGTGAACAGTGAGGGTGGGCTTATAAGGTGAACAGTGAGGGTGGGCTTATAAGGTGAACGTACGGTGTCGTCAAAGGAGGGGTGCTCCGGCCACACGCCGCTGTCCACAATCCCAATCACCGTGCCATCGCCGTCGCTCGACGCTCCAGCCGGAGTGGCGGCAGCCGGAGTGGCAGCAGCAGGAGTGGCGGCAGCGGGAGTGGCAGCAGCAGGAGTGGCGGCAGCAGGAGTGGCAGCAGCAGGAGTGGCGGCAGCAGGAGTGGCAGCAGCAGGAGTGGCGGCAGCAGGAGTGGCAGCAGCGGAAGCAGCAGAAGAGAGGGCGTGGTGCAGCTTGAGAGACTTGTACGCGTCGGTGGTGGTGGAGGTGGCGCGGCGTGTGATGGTGCGAGAGGGCGTGACGGACGCCACAGAGGGGTGCCGTCTCATGCGCTGCACCTGCGCTGCCGTGAGGATCGCTGCAAAGCCGTTCGACACATGCACGTAGCTGAGGGGGGAGGGAGGGAGCAAGGGCGCACAAGGGGAAGAAGAGGGAAGGGAGAGCGGGGCAGGAATGAGTTTTCTATGAGTCGGCAGTGGTGGTGCTGGGTGCATGAGTGATGAAGTGAGCCATGAGGGGCACTCAAGGACCAGGACAGGTGACATCTCATCTCATCTCATCTCATCTCATCTCATCTCATCTCATCTCATCTCATCCTCTCACTGACGTTTGTCACGTGAGTGAGCTCGGACCTGTGCTACCGTGAGGTGAGGGTCGCTGAAAAGCCGATCACGAACGACGTTTGATGCGTAAGCCGGGAAGGAGTGCTGGGAGGGGTGCTGGGAGGGGTGCTGGGAGGGGCTTTTCGTGCGACACATGCACAGAAATCAGGTCCCCCACATTCCCCTCACTCCCCTCACCTGTAAACCATCTTCCCCGCATCCACCCGGCTGTCTCTCAGCACGGCCTGCTGCATGCGCTGCAGCAGCTGCTTGAACGCCCTCACGCCCGGCGCCCTCAGGTTCAACCGCGGCCGGCGAGCCCGACGGCTGGTGCCTCCTGAACCGCTAGCAGTGGCAGCAGCCGCAGCCGTTACAGGGGCACCAGAAGCAGCGCCAACGCCACATTGTTAGTCATGGAGGAGGAGGAGGAGGAGGAGGAGGAGGAGGAGGAGGAGGAGGAGGAGGAGGAGGAGGAGGAGGAGGAGGAAGTCTCGCGAGGTACGGCGGGATGGTGAGCGTCGTCGTCTGTTGTGGCGCCTGTCGCCTTGCTGTTAGTAGGGCCGCTGTCCCAGCTGGCCGTTGGGGAGTTTGAGGAAGCTGCCGCGTCGGCACCGTTGGCTGCATCGCCACCGTTGGCTGCATTGTCCGCCGTCGCATCTATAGCGTTCCCGTTAGGGTCGCTGTCCCACACGGCCGTTGCTGGGAAGCCGGGGATTCCGCCGCGATACGAGGCGACTGGTGGTGCAGAGCGCAGGCGGACGATTGTAGAGCGCGGAGGCATGGGGGGAAGCTGCGGGGGATCGGGGGAAAGGCAAGGAGAAGAGGGGAGATGGGAGATGGGATTTGGGAGCTGGGGGTAAAGAAGGGGAGGGAGCGCAGGCGGACGATGTAGAGCGCGGAGGCATGAAAGGGGGAAGCTGCGGGGGATAAGGAAATGGGGCGAGGAGAAGAGGGGAGAAGGGGGATGGGAGTAAGAGGGGAAGGAGCGCAGGCAGACGATGTAAAGCGCGGAGGCACGGGGGGGGGGGGGGGGGGGAAGCTGCGGGGGATGGGGGGACCAGGGCGAGGGGGGGAATGAGGGAAAGAGGCGGCAGGAAGCGGCAGAGCGGTGAGGTGAAACATGCAGGAAATCTTTAAAGGACAAGGGAAGGGGGAGGGTAAGTAGGCGAACAATATGTAGAGCATGCAGGCATCATTGCGGGCAGCTGCAGATTGTTTGGCTGGGAGAGCAGGGCCAGAGAGAGCAGGGCCAGAGAGAGCAGGGCCAGAGAGGGAAGTGGAAATGGGAGTGAGTGGGGGAGGGGAGGGAGCATACTATGCTGAGGATGTATTACAAGGGGACGCTATGAGCCTTATTTATATAGGATGCTACGGAGCGCCATGGTGTATGGCGGTTTGCTCACCACCGTTGGTGGGGCGGGAGAGCGTTACGGGTAGAGTGACGAGGAGCGATGGTAGGAGAAGAAATGCCCATGATCGATAAGCCCGTTCTTTATAAAGCAACGAATGTTGTTTCTCAGAATGCGAGTGTTGTTTGTGAGAAGCCATAGAGAGATTGCAGTAGCAGGGCAACGGCGGTAGATTTGAAAAGAAAACGACGAAGAAAATGCCGAGGCACTCGGAGATCTATCCTCGAGACTCTGGCTGCTGTCACTACGACTGCTCCAGAAAGGGTGGTACCTCGTGAAATCAGTTGAAATCAGTTTTACCTCGGGCGATGAAGCTAGATCGCCTTCTTGGGGATGTCCGTGGGTTGCACAGAGTTACATCAAGCGTCCCAAAAGTGCATCTTTCCAGCCTGGCAGCTCCCTCCCACGTTGCGCCAGATTTACCACACGTGCCGCCAACCGACACTTGTGTGTGCGACCGTTGAGGAAATGAGGAACCTCGCGCCCAATCAACTCTGCATGCACGACTCCCGGCGATCGTGTGAAGTCTATTCGCACGACGTCCAGATTCCTTCCCCGTCAACGTCAGCGTGGTGCCAAATCATGGGACGTGTCATGTGCAATGCCCGAACGTTGATATCCGGACTCCCGGACATCCCAGGAAGGCGATGTAAAGTCTTCCCTTTCTCCCCTTGCCTCGCTTTCCTCCCTGACCTCATCGTCATGGCTCTTTGCTCTCTGCCTTGCTGGCACGACTATGGTCGTAGAGGTTCCTGCTCCGTCGAGTGGGTCAGTCACATGTAGTACAACGAACAGGTATGCAACGACCCTGAACAACGCCCAATGACTCTGTCAACTCAACAACCGTCGCTCGGTTACCCCATTATGTCGCTCAAGGACCCAACGGGAAACATGAGAAAAAACGACGACCGTCGTTAGCTTCGTCAAGGAACGGTAAACTCCCGAACACGAGAAACCAAGAAACCAGGATGCAGACAAAATTCTAGGTTTGTGTTACATTGTTAGGACGCGTCACATGTATAACAGCGGGGTACGATCGGCTCCAAACACCGAATTTGTGTGCATCGCGTACGAAAAAAGGGAATCAATCTGCCGGAGCAGTGTTGGCTGCTTCCCCGAGCCAAGTGTGACACGACCGGTTTTGCAAGTTGGGTGCTCCAAGCCAACTGTACACCAAAGCTGCCAGTGCATGAGCCGTACTTCGCTGGCATGTCGCACAACACTCGCTAGGCTTGTGACGACGCGCACAGACGATGATGTTCCACTGTCGTATCTGGGCGCTCCACTGACTTGCAATGTATGCGATGCCGCCCGGTAACCACATCGAACGTGGCCGACGGTATGCGACTGCGATCGATCGTGGCTGGAACTGGTGGCGCGACATCGATTCCAGCGCTGTCAATTGCACAATCGATGTGCCTGTTTGAGCCATCCGATCAGGGGTTTTATGCGTGTGCACGATTTTCGCGACACGCTTAACGACAACGGGATACATGTCTTTCACGAAATGGCGAATGCACTGTAGATGCTGCACACCGATATTTCACAAGATCGGTGTTAGACATGTGACGCGTCCTTATCTAGATTATACACATACCAAATTTACATACCATTACAACGTAGCATTCCAATTGTATTTGCCTTATAAACAAAATATCTGGATTCAAAGCTTCTTTCCTTTACATAGCTTCTTTCTCTCAGGGTCATTTGTATGACGTGTTTATGACTAGTTTATAAGACCTACATTTTCGTATAATATTTTGTTGTCACACTCTATCACGTATTTCTTCTCCCGCTTCTGTTTCCACGGCCTTCATTCCAACCTCTCCTCGCCTCACTGCCAGCGCCCCTCATAACGCCTTCGGAATGCCTTCCTTGAGAACTACGTTTCCCGTATTCCTCTGGTACCAATAGCCACTGAGATCAACAGGCACCAAACTTCAAGTTCGCCTAAAACAGCACAACTTACGCGGCTACAAGGCCCCTTTCTTCCTGTGATACGGACGTAAGGCGAATGAGCAAGTGGGTGAGGCGAGTGAGCGAGTAATTGAGTGGATAAGGCGAGAGAGCAAGCGAGCGAAGCGACTGAGCAAAGCGAATGAGTGAGTGAGTGATGCGAGTGCGTGGGCGAGGGAGCGATTGATTGAGTGAGTGAGGGAGAGAGTGAGTGAAGCGAGTGAGCAAGTGGGTGAGCAGGGCCTGAGATTCACAATTAGGGTCGTCAACCCACCAAGGTCCCTTAGTGTAGAAACCCTGATTGACAGTATTCCTAAAAAAAGAAAAATCTGAAATATCAGTGTTGCCTTCAGAGAAAGCCTGATGCATCAGTGTTCCACTAGAAAGAAGGCTGATACCATTAAAAAGTCTCTATTTTAAATAATAAGTCAGTAGCAGCCTGAAACATTGCTAAGCTAACATGCCTTATAAATCATCACCAGAATCCGTATCACTTCTCTTAGCCTTTGGTTCTTCCCCCTCCTCCTCAGCTTGGGACACAAACGCGTGCCAGTTGCTCTGTCGTAGCACACATCCCGGCTTCACTTCTGCTTGTGACACATACACGTTGAGGCTGCAAGGGCAGGGTGGAAGTGGATTAACAGGCAAGGTGAGGCAGGGAAAGAGAGAACAGGAAGGAGAGAGGAGGGGAAGACTGGCGTGGTTGGGGGGGAGACGACCGGGGGAGAGCGGGAGTGGACGGAGTGCGGGATAAAGGGGGCGGGGGAATGGACGACGAGAGCGCGGGTCATGCGCGGATCATGCCGTCGCGCAGCACGACGCTGCGCGTGCCGCACGCGGCGCGGATGGCCTTGCAGCCGCGGTTCGTGCTGGCGACGAAGCAGCCTTTGGTTGTCTCCATAAGCACGAAATACTCCGCGTCGTCGAGTCGTAGCGGGGCCTGCAACGCCGAAGGGAATCGCCACGAGGCTAGACGACCATCTTGCAGCACGCACCGCGGATCGCATCGAACAGGAGCGATGGATTCGGCGAGACAAGAGGAGGTTCGGCGGCGCTCGCGATGGTTCGATTCCCGACGACCCGCTGTTTCCGGTGCTGATGGCGCCACGTGCTAGTGCAGATGAGAAAGCACGAGAGGAATCAGGCTGAGAGGGAGGGAGAGAGAAACGGGAGGAAAAGAATTGGGAGAGATTGGATGGGAGAGAATGGGAGGATCAGTGCTTGCCAGCATCGGTGCAAGCAACGGTGCAGGACCCTCGCAGCCCTCCAGCACCACATGGTTGCCACATTCTGATTAGCCAACACTTTATGCTGCAGCGAAACTGCCCAATGGAGTGTAGCGCCAAGCCAACAAAACAAACCCCAACGTCAACTTGAGGGTGAATTTGTCAGGTAGTACCCGCCACGTGATGCTGGTACCGCAGGAATATGAGATTCCCTGTAATTGCGGGCACATCCACACGGAACAAGGAAGAATAGCTTTCAGTGTTAGTTTCGTTACAACACTGTTGAATCAGCGTACTTGGGAAGAAAAGCCTGGAAAATCAATGTGGAATAACAAAAAAAAGGCTGGAAAATCAGTCTCTCTAAAATCTGAACACTGAAAAATCAGGGTAGGTACAAAACTTTCCCCTGAAAATCAGGAATTTCAGGGATTTTTCCCTGATATCTGAGGCCCTATGGGTGAGGTGAGTGATCGAGGCGGGTGAGAGAGGCGAGTGAGCGAGTGAGTTGGGCCTTATTGAATTGAGAGTTAGTGATGGCAAAGAGAGAAACAGGGGGAAGGAAGTGTGCGGAGGGAAGAACAAAAGCAGCTTCGTACCCTCCTCTGCTCTTAATGTCAAGGCTCCGTGCACCAATCACCAAGGCACCACTGCTCTGTCCACCGAGACACCAAGGCACCAGTGCTCTGTGCACAAAGGCACCATTGCTCTGTGCACTAAGGCACCACTGCTATGTTCACCAAGGCACCAAGGCACACAGGATGGGCTTGCATACCGGATTACATAGACCTTGAAGTTGAATAGGTTAAACCGTCCTGTATAAGCCTGAATAGACGACTTTTGAGACGTCTAAAAACTTGGAAGTTGAATAAGTTAAGTTAGTCCTGTATAAGCCTGAACGTGAATAGCAGCTTATACAGAACTGTAGACTTATACTGGGGCTCTTGCCAGGATTTAGCCCTATCTGAAAAAAAAAAAAAAAAAAAAAAAAAAAAAAAAAAAAAAAAAAAAAAAAAAAAAAAAAACGAATCGTTCTGTCTGACGTGCAAACAGACATTTTTTTTTTCTATTTTTAGACGAATGGAGAAGCTTTGTCTGACTTTCCAGACTATTCCTTTTGCATGGTCTGATTAAGTTGATACACCTGTCGAGCATGATCTCAAGTTAATGAGTACGCTGCTGACTCGGTGCTGATGCAGCGCTAACAGCTCGCCAGCTGACAAGCGTGTGTGCAAGAGGGCATGTGTAGGAGCTGTTCTGCGAAGGACCGCCAGGATGGTGGGTGGAGGGAGGGAGGGACTTGAAGGAAAGGGGGGGTTGGGCTGGGAGGGGACACGACGAGGGACATGGGGAAGGGGACTGAGCTCGGAGGGGGGACCTAGGGGGGAGGAGGGGGAGAAGGGCTGGACTGTGCCTGGAAGAGGAGTGAGGGCATTGAAGGGAAGACTGAGGCTGGGCTGGAGGGAGTGATGGATTGGGGGGGGGGCGAGGGAAGAGGGGGAGGAAGCGGGGGGAAAGAGGGGGTTCAGTGTCAAACGAAAAAAAAGAAAGAAAAAAAATCGTTATCTGAAATTTCAGATGAAGTATAACAATTTCTCTGAAAAATCAGACGAACAAAAAGCACTAATTATAAGGATCAGACGAAATAAAAAGCATTGATTAAAAATAATATGAATGCAAAAATCAGGATCTGAAAGTCAGACCATCAGACCAATTTGGTCTGATAAAGAGAGCCCTTCCTTATACAAAAGTACAGCCTTATACAGAACTGCAGCCTTGTACAGAACTGCAGCCTATACAGAACTGCAGCCTTTTATTGGACTACATCCTTATGCAGGACTGATTGATTCGCTTCAGAGAATTCTCAAAAGCCACATTGGGGCTGGCCTGAAAAGAGCCGATCCAACCACAGTGGTCCCAGCGGTGCAAGTACGCATTCTTGACGAAACCGGACCGCACCCCACCGCACCGGTCAGATCACCACCAAACCCCAACCCGCACCATACCACATGCCACTCGCTACAACGTTTGCCACTGCACCGCCCCGCACCACTCACCTCACCACACCCACATGCTACTGCACAAGGCAACACATCACACTAATGACAGAGAGGTCAGACAGAGTTACTGGTGCTGAATAGAGATTTCATGGTTTTAAGGCCACTGTCACTGCTAGTGCTGCTCTCCCTGCCTGAGCTACTACTGACTGAGAGGCTCAAGTTGGAGGGCAGCAGAGAGGAGCGGCAAATCAGAGTCTCAAAATAGGAGTCTCTCTCCTCTGGGTTGCGCTGTTCTCGCTGCTTGTGCTTTTGGTCGATGAGGGCCTCATGCTGGTGGGCAGGCAGGCACATCTTTGCGCGGCAGAGAGGAGAGGCTAGATAGGAAGTTTCAATGGCTCCAAGTGCTCTCTCTCTCTCTCTCTCTCTCTCTCTCTCTCTCTCTCTCTCTCTCTCTCTCTCTCTCTCTCTCTCTCTCTCTCTCTCGAACGGTCCTGTATTGATATAACATGCAGTACATATTGTAGGGTTATCACAGAGCAGATACAACCATGTGAGTGTCTACGCACGCCATCTAGCAGCCCCCGTGCGGGGGCTCGAGTGTTGCAAAGCAGTCCCCCGGGTTCAGCACCCCCTCAGGCCCCCCTAGGGGTGGGTTTTCGGCCAGTGCTGCAAGGTTCAGCTTCATGAGGAAGCTAACCGCTTGTGCCCTTTGCAGGGCGACCGACCAACGCTGCCGGAACTGGTGAAGCATCTTAGCGGCCTGGTAGGTAGAGGGGTCCGCATTAAAGAGCTTCCTCGCTGCCGTGTCAGCAAGGAGTTTGAGGAAGGTCGGTACTTCATCACAGGGGAAGCCGTAGGTTTCCACTGTCAAGGGGAAAAACCCCGC